ACACACTTAATCCCTCATATAGGTCTTGTTTCCATGGTATTCCCTCTCAAGTTATTTTTAGACATGGTATCCAGTTGCCTCGCGGGTGATGTTAGTTACCACGCGCGTTGCGTGGATGTTTTCGTGGAACATTAAAAAATACGTGTACGACCGTTTGGGCTGTCCACGTGAGCAAAGTTCGCATAACAGGATTGGCTATTTTTAGACCTGCCTGGGATTTCTTAGACTGGCAGTGTTCTAAAAGTAACTTAAGACGGATTACCTTGAGAATAAGGTCTATAGAAGGGAATAACTCCCTCACCCTTCACCTTCTCTTGTTATGGACAGAAAGGTGGTAATGGAGATTTAGATCACTACAACGGATGACTGTTTGTTTTATTAACACCAAGGCTTGAACACCAGTTGACAGTGTTTTTACCAATTTTGTCTGCCTTGCATCTTGAGGAAGATATGGTGTTTCCCAGACAAGATAATGGTCGGGCGAAAAATACGTTAAAACAATATGAAGGCCCCCGCAAACAATAAAACAATTTCACGGAAACATGTATGCATCGTTTTCAAAACTATATTTTGGGTTCGCGAAAACGGAGAAACCTATGCTTCGAAAACAAACTGTTTCTGAATAAGTTCAAAAATATCTTTAGCTTCTTGAAAACAAATTATGTTTCCGTAACCTTCAAGGCGCTCAGTCACGGTATTGTGAGCATGTAAAAACTAACCTTCAAATTGAAGAAACCCTGAAAATAGTGGTTTACTAAGATAGAAAAACACCAATGAGATAATAACAAACCATAAAGGAACAAGGATGGTGGAGGATGGAGACGATTAATACGGGTTACAAACGACAAGTTTGAAAAATTTAATTGGGCTGAACTTTTCAGGATGCCCAAACTGTGACGTAGTCCCTTTAAGTAATCAATGTAAGTCTCAGGAAGAGGCTTAAAAATACTTTAAATAGTTTAACTAGTTAGGTGTTTGCATTTCAAAAAAATATTTCGTGGCCCTTGTCATATAACAATGTTTTCAATAAAGCTTTCAAATTTTCAAAATGGACGATATTTTTGTGGATGAGGCGAGAGATAGTTAATCACTCATATTGATCTTATTTCTAAGGTAATCTCTCTCAGGGCCCGTCCACACTATGCCGGAGAAATTTGAAAACGGCGTCTTCTCTCTGAAAACGCATCAAATGTTTTTTGTCGGCATTACCCCGGAGAAATTTGAAACACAACAATCAGCGGTCATTTTGGATTTGTGTTTGAGGAAAACTCGGTCAGGGAAATCCCTTGATTATCGCGATGTCATTGTTTTCGTAAAGCTCCGTTTTCAAAATGTTTTCACACTATTAAAAACGCAAAGCTAACGTTTTCTAACTCCTCCGGTTTAAAGAGCGTTTTCGAAAAGCTCCGTTTTCGTGATGGGTCAGTGCGGACGGTAGGCCTGACCGTACGTAGAAATAAAGCTGCGTTTTTAAATTTCTCCGGTGTAGTGTGAATGTGGCCTCAAGTTACTTTTAGACTTTACGAGTTCTTTCGGTTTGAAAGAAGTAAATGTCCATCGCAACAAATTAAGGCCCATTTGCACTACGCGGAAGTTTTTGTACAGCTCTCCGGATAAAATTGTTACTGAGTACGGTCGAAAATTGGCACAGGTGGCACTTCTATCCAAGCCGTACCAAAACTTTCGCGTAGTTTTAAAGCGTGGGCCATCGTTGCGAAGTAAATAGTGACCCGTCCTCACTATAATGAAAAGCCACGAGTGAAATAAACTTTTCCTGTGTTGTAAGGTTTCTCATGTTGTTTCATTCATAAGGAGCTTAGGCCTCGTCAACACTACGTCGGAGAAATTTGAAAACTGAGTTTTTGTCTTTGAAAACGAATCAAATGTTTTCCGTCCACACTACGGAGGAGATATTTAAAACGGAACAACCATCGGTCAGTTTGGATTTGTGTTTGAGGAAAAGTTCGTCAGGAAAATCACAGGATTATCGCCATGTCATCGTTTTCGTAAAGCTCCGTTTTCAAAATGTTTTTCTGTCCACACGGAACGAAAAGCCGACGTCTTCAGATTCCTCCGGCGTACTGTCGACGGGGCCTTACATAAACAAAGATCGGTCAATATTTTGGCAGTCTTTTCGGAGCATCAATTTTGGAAGATTGCGCGGCAGTTCCTAGGTTACGGTATGCATCACAGCAACAATTCTTTTTGATAATTTTATTCCATTTAACACCTTTTGGTTTTCTCCACATCATCGATACAATTGGACTACCGCGGACTGTCTGGTTCAGACAATATCTGAGTACGGCGTCAAGCAGCCTCCAAAGAGTCATATTTAAGTCGGCAAAACATTGAACAATGCTATGAAGACAAGAAAAGATTCATCGTCAAAATCCGTTCCAAACTCCTCGGCTTGTAACGTTCAAGTACCCATCTACGGAGCCGTTCACAGGGTACATCGTAAATTCACAATGGCGACTCTAATTCGCATTTTATTAGGTCTGGTAGTGTTTTTAACCTTTCTAGGTAATATACTATTTATACTGGAGACGAGGAGAATGAACGCTGAAGGTGAAAAGTCAATTATTGATCCTGAAACTCCTCGACAATCTCTCTGGCGATCACGTGACGGTGCCGATAGCAATGTTGTGAAGACAGCCACTGTTCCAAGTGAGTAAATCTGGTTTTCTTGCGGGACAGATCGGGCAATCCCGCGCAGGTAACCGTTTAGTTTATAGTTGGTTCACCTTGCCCGCTAACCGCATTCTTTGTAAAACCTTTCGTTCGAAGTGTTCGAATTTTTAGCAAATGTATACAGATCAGGTTGTCAAATTTGAAGAATTTAATGTTATGTTTAGCTTTACAAATAATCTTTTTGGTTTTCTTCTCCTTTGTCGTTGCTCTTTAGGTCATTTAGACATACAGGTTTTCTCGAGCAAAGAAAACGTTTCAGTGACGGTGAATGGAAAACTGGTGAGCATATAAATCACACGTGTCTATCCTTAATTATGCTGAGTACGGAATAGACCGCGGTTCTCCCTAAAATAAGACAGTTATTAAACTGCATAGATTAACGATCAAAATGTTGGCATTCTCTGTATCCTTCCCAATTAGTTGTATTTCCATCTAAAATCGACAATAATGTCCGGAATGGAAGCTAGTGAGAAAAATGAATTCAATGTAATTAACAAAGGCTCTGATTACGATACAGTAAGGAGAAGCTGGAGTCGAATTGGATTATTGAGAAGTTTGTGGTTTAAAGATCAGTCACGGCATTTTGAATTATTTTGGCCACGTAGAATGTTAGCTTAAAACTGAAACAGCAGTTCACTAAGGTAGAAAAACACACTACATGTGATAGTTGACAATTCTCACTAAATTTGACAAAATCTTCAAATATTTCAAAATATTTCAAAATTTGAAAGAATTTTCAGATATCACGAGTAGTGTAAGTCCTTAGTTGCTCGTGCCTTCATACGATTACTCGTATATTATATGACTGGGAAGATCACAAATGCGTGCGCGTTAATTTGCTCTGCAGTGCAAATTAAGAATTAACGATAAATTGGCCTGCTCTCAGCCAATCACAATACAGTAATTTCCTAAGTTATATAATAAAGGACCTAATTTAGAACCTACCTGACTGAAATTGTCAATAACTACTCCGAAATGCTAGAACCTCTTTTGCTAGCGGGTTTTCACTGTATTTTATCTTCCTCGGAATAAACACTCTGACTTGCCCTTTTGCACTGATTCAGTGAAAAAAAAAAACGAATATGGGTTTCTCGTTACTGATCTTTGCCTAGCCAAACAAGGTTAAGAAAAGACCACAAGGCAGTGATACCTTTTGCATGTGAGCGTTCGTTTATTTCCTTTTCATTTCAGGTTTATGAAGGAACCCAATCAATTGGGATACACGTTGTGGTTCTTCATCAAGCCAAAGGAAGTGTGACGACCTGGCGAGTTTTTGACACATATTCCACCGGCCAAGAATCCAAACAACTAATAGATTTCATCCGCAGTCTGCGAGAAGAACGGATCCTTTGTTTCGCTGTTAAGGTAGGGCCGCCAGCTTAGAAGACAAACAAATGTGCAATCCTTTAAAAATTACAATATTTGGCGAGGAAGCCCCATCAGCCTCAACTGGTGTTCATACGGGTTTTCGATCCTGGTCAAATTGGAATTTGGAGTGTTGGTTTTTGTGGAGGGAGGAAAACCGGTGAAACCGGAGCAAAACCCTCAGAGCAAGGCGAGAACCAACAATAATAAGGACAACACACTAATAAAGTTCTGATCTTATTTCTTTTCAAAAGGACGAGGCGACCACGAATTTGATGAAATCCGCGCGAAGCTTCCTCAAAAGCTTGGGCAGTACTTACATCAACCAATTACAGTGGCGCGACATGTGGGCATTTGTGGTTCAGAGAGTCAACAATGAACACTTCGTGTATGCTGAGGGATTTCAGCATTCACTGAATGACCAGGAATGGGCTTCTCCTGTCAGTATTCACACGACAGTTCCTTTCAGAGCGGAAAAGATTGTAGGGTGCAGTTGGGAAAATAACGAAGCCAACAGTCGAAGGAAAGAGTTTTGCGATAAGTTTGATGGATACAAAGACATTTGTAAATGTAAGTAGTTCATTTTTACCTTTGAAAAGCTGTAGTTTATATGGAAAACACAGCTGGGAAAGAACATTCCATTTCGTACTTATTTGTCATCATGGTGGTTTAAACTCGGTTATACTGAAGTCATCATCATTATCATACCTGATCGCTTATTACGCATACCTGTTATTGACTGAGTTTGAGGTCCGCACCATAAGTTATCGACCGAGTCTCAGTTTCCCGTCACCGATTTACTAATTTAAGCCACAAGAGGGCGGGCCATGACTGAGACCAATAGGAATTCAAAGTGATTAAGATGTTTGTAACCTCACACTCTGGAGAACTGAAGAAAAACATTTGACTCTAGCGCCGTACAATACAGCCCTAGAATTGACCAATGGTTGCACGCGTATTATCTGAGAGGTGTCAAAAACAATATTGTGCACAGTTCTCAGCACATTTGAGGACATTACTTTTTTATATTTCATTGTTTTCTAAAGGTGAGGATCCCGACTCTCTAGTCTTTGACCCTCCGCCGTTACCGGACGGAAGCCGTATCGACCTTCCTGTGTTAATCATGGCCAGTAACCGCCCACAGTACTTTTCCAGAATGCTGCAATCACTACGGAGAGTCATAGGACTGAATGCTGCCATGGTAACAGTCTTTATTGACGGCTTCTTTGAAGAGCCTGCATTGCTTGCTGGACTGTACAAGTTAAAGGTTGACCAACACGAGGGTGTAAGCAAACGAAACGCCAGAATCGCCCAGGTACAGTGCGAAGCTCTTGAAATGTGGCTTCGAGGAAAGAGTTTTCAAATTACGAAAAATTGGAAACTCTAAAAAAATGAAATTTTTTCCCCAACAAATAGATAGAATTCTGAAGCAGCTGAGTGTTGTTAAACCTTATTTCATTAGGAAGTATGCGATAACTTATTTATAACACAAAGCACAAAGGTGTTCTCTGAGGTGATAATCCAATTCGACTCCGACTCCTCCGTACCTGTGTTAACGTTACAATAACTACAGATTCTATGTATGTATTTCAAAGCCCTTGCCTACTTCTATTCTAGGTTAAAATAAAATGGTTGATTTTCCTAGCATTTGCCTGATACCTATGTTTTCTCCTAAGAGGAGAGTTAAGTGTCTTTCCCAAGAAAAAAAGATGCAGTGAATTAAGGATTGAACGAGGACCCCTCATCCCGAAAGACCGTAAGCATTAGCCATTAGCCAGGCCAATTTAACACATATTCCACATTTGTGTAATATGAATTGAGAGCGGTTTTCACTGATTGAGTGTCGTAAGATCAAACCCAAAGTAATCTCTCTAGCCAATCACAAAGGACACAGACAATTCAGTGAACCAATCAAAACTCAAAGTAATAACATGTAGCTGATGCAAAGCGCGGGAAAACGCGTGCGAGTAAGTCACGATTGATTTTGGTTTTACTTCTCATTGGATGAAAAAGTTGCGCGACTTTTTTTAGCCAATCATGTGCGGTAGTAAGTGCAAAACCAATTACTTTTGGATACTCAAGTGAAAACCGCTCTAACTTGCAACTCTTGTTGTTTATGTAGCATTACAAGAAATCGCTGACTGCTTCATTTGATCGGTATCCCGAGGCAGACTTTCTGGTTATTCTTGAAGAAGATCTTGATATATCTGTGGATATTCTCACCTACTTCAATCAACTTCTACCGGTATTGGAAAAAGATGACAGTCTTTACTGCATATCAGCTTGGAATGATCAGGTAATAACTCTGATGTCAGACCCTGCAAAACAACAAAAGGACGGAAGGAACGGATGGAGGGAGGGAGGGGGAGAGGAGAGAAAAAGGGAGAGGCATTAAGGAACGGAGGGAGGGAGGGGTGAACGAACAGGGTGGAGAGACAGACAAAGGATGGGATTAAGGGGAGGATGGAGGAGACACAGAGGGAGTCAGGGAAGGGAGGAACCGAGGAACGGAGGGTTAAAATAGAACAGAGGGATCATCTGGCATTTTTGGTTCTTTCTGGGCTAATACGGAACAAGCCAGTGACGCAAACCAAACTGTAATAGTTATGGTGGTCGATTATAGCTGGCTGACTGTTTCTGTTTTAAACCGAGTATTGGAATTTTCGTTTTGTCAGGGCTATCAACACACAGTTAAAGATCCAGCCATGATGTACAGAGTGGATACAATGCCAGGACTCGGATGGTGAGGAGTTGATTTGCTTATACAGTAAAAAGACATCGGAGAGCATTACACCAATGTCTATTTGTCCACTCTTAGTATGAGTGACTATGAGTATCATTGTAGAGGGGAGGGAGAAACAAGGGACGGGGAACCATAAAAATAGGGGGATAAAATGCCGGATGGGTACGGGAGACAGGGGAGGAAAGCTTAAGGGCGCTATATCCTGCAATCCAGTAAGCACTCTCAAATGTCCCCCGAAACAGAGGTTTCAAAGAGGCGAGAACCCTCGGAAGTAAAGAAGTAAGGAAGGGGCCAGAAGCTGAAGTTTGACATGCGGCAGCTCAGAGGCTGTTGGCCACTCTTGTCTGGGTACGACTCACTTTACTTTACTTATTTTTGCACTTAACATAGACTGTATTTTTGGTGCTGATTTTTGAATTTGAAAATTAAGGGTTTTGCAGCGAAATTTGTACAAAGACGAGTTAGAGGAAAAATGGCCTGGACCCGACGACTTCTCGGACTGGGACATGTGGATGAGGGGCCCGGATCAGAGAAAGGGCCGCGAGTGCATTATACCTGACATCTCTCGCACCTATCATTTTGGGGCCAAGGGTCTGAACATGAACCCATACTTTCAAAGCCATTACTTCTCTAAACATGCGCTGAACACTCAGCCAAATGTTAAGCTGGATGTGAACGTCATGTACAAGGACAACTACGAGAAGGAAATAGAGAGACTATTGAGGTAAAATGTGGTGAACATTAAAAAAGAAAAAAAAGAATGAAGGATGCTATTGAAAGATAATATATCGGCTGTCAAGGCAGTGTGTTCTATTGAAAAGCAACCAATCTGATTGGCTGTCTCATCGAACAGACCATGGCCTACTTTAGTCGCGCCTAGGGTTTATCAAGCTCGTTCCCTGGGGATTTTCCATAGAGATTGGGAAAAGACCTGGGAAAGAGGTTGGGGTTTTAATGCTTTAAATCCACCCGAACGGGGCTGCCTGAATTTTCATTTACCTGTTGTATGAAGTCTACGATTGACATAATATCTTTCTCGTCTGGTTTTCCTTTTTTCAGAGGTGCTAAAATCTTGGATCATTCAAAAACGCCCTGTACAAATCCCGAGGATTTTGTTCCCTTCACAGAGGACAAGATTTATGCGTTTTACATCAGAATGGACAATATCTACGACTTCACCACGTGGTACAACGTGGCAAAATGTTTCAAAATCTGGGATTTAGATCCACGCGGTTTTCATAAAAGTTTATGGCGACTGTGGTTCAATGGAAATCATGTATTGATTGTGGGGTGCCCAGCCTCTCCGCATTGCATTCATAAGCCAAGCAGCTTACAACCTATTTATATTCCTAAGACGCAAACGAGGGACTCTCATACATAAATAAATACATAGACTTTATTTTTTCTCGAATTTAAGAGTAGCTATTAACAAACTAATTCTTCTGAGAGAAAAATAACAAAAGAAATCAAAATAATATACTGTAATATACAAACTACAATTCAGTACAATATTTAAAACTAACGGCTAAAATGAAATAAATCTTTTAAAATACTATATTAAGCAGAAAGTTAATTTACAAAATGTCCCAAATTTACATTAAGTTAAGGCCAGCTAATATATTTTTTAAAGTCATTAAGGTTCAACTTGAAGTTCGAACATTGTCCGGCAGTGAGTTCCATTGTTTAACAACATGATAAGAAAAAGAGAGGTCATAAGTAGTAGTTTTAGGTACAGGGAGGGTCAGAATGTAGTTACAGCGTAAATTATAGGAGGTAGTACGGACAGTAAACATATTCCTCATGTAGATAGGATACTTAGTTAGAAATAAACTGTTGTAGAGTACAATTAACATATTGTGTATACGTCTGTTATATAGAGAAATACAGTTGACTTTGTCCAATGAGGTATTTTGTGTAGATTCAAAATCAGCTAGAGTGAATCTAAGATTCCTTTTATTGAGAGCACCATCTAGTTTCTAGTTTCTCAGTATTTCGCGCGTCGCAGAAATGCCACACCGATGAACAATAATGTAAGTGTGGTAGGGTTAAGGCCTTATACAGTCTAATTTTAAGTGTCCTCGATTAGAAGACCACTTGTGGTCGGCTAGAAGAATTTGACACAATGGTAAAGTTACTGACTGACTGACCAAAGTGGCTTTGGAGATCAGTTTTCTAAATCTCATCATGACATGTAACTGATTATTTACGGCTTTTTGCAAAGCGAACATACGCGTTTATCAAACTGAAGTTTGGTGTCAAAGTTCATACCAAATATGTCAATTAACTCTTTTACTAGAAAAGAGAAAGTATGCTCCGTATCACCAACGATCAAGGCCTGATGTTTAGTTTCGTTGACAATCATACCGTGGTCATTGTACCATTGATTTGCTGTTTCAGCTTCCTTACAGAAGCATTCTTCTGGTGCCACCGGATCGCTGTTCGAGTTATAAATCTGATGGTCGTCAGCATACTCGTTTAGCTTCGCTCTCTTTATATGATAGAAAAGGATCGTCTATGAATATATTAAAAAGAATAGAGCCTAAAACTGAGGCACCCCGCGCTTAACAGTCTCCCATGACGAGAAAGTGTCACCAATCTTCACCCTCTGTTGTCAATTTGACAGATAGTCTCTTAACAGGGCACAGCTGTCCTCGTCTAGTCCGTAGGGTTTGAGCTTGGCTAATAACAGGGGTACTGTGTAACATCAAAGGACTTTGACAAATCCATCGACACTATCCCCACGCGTTGCCCATCATCACGCATTGACCTCCACTCTTCTGTCATTCTTGATAACGACGTCTCACAGCTGTGGAAAACTCTTCGCTTCTCGGAACAGATAATGCCCGCGGACAATTATCCTAGCATATTTTCGCGCCAAATGGAGGCTATTGTTGATTTATCTTAAGAACTCGAAATTTACTTTTCTGTAGTCCACTGAGGAATTAATTAATGTCGATTTCAACTTCGCCAAAGTCTTAAGGGCATTGTTGAGATTTTCATCGTAACGACTTCCAGACAATTTTGAGATTTGTTTGCAAGAGTATCCTGCTTGTTTTACTTTGATTTGCTTGGACGCCATAACTAAGGTTAGATGATATTCTTGGAATTAACCCAACCTACCAGCTTACGGTCAGTGTTATGTACACTGATTTTGTGTTCCCCACTGTACTGCATTCAGTAAATCACTAACAAAAATTATTCCCTGACAATAAAAAAAAATCTTTCTTAATTCATCAACTGGCAGAACTTTCTGTTTGGTTCGTTTTCTATAATTTTACTCTTTGCTTGTCGGCCGCTTTATCCTAGGCAGGTAAACACAAACGTTTCAACTATTAACAGGCCAAACTCAGTGTAGGCTTGGTTAGACAATACTTTATTTAGGTTCGTGTACATGTCCATTGTTTTTACTTATGTACTCTAGCATTCTCTTAGTCTGTCGCGTGTGGACCTCGCGCGGCCATTATTCCTCACGCGCGTTCTTTCGTGTCCCACTCGACGATAATAGTGGCTGCCACAGTCTATATACATCTACTATAATTTGGAAAACACACAATTGCGTGACAAAAGATCACTGGTAAAGACAGTTCTGTTAGGTTCTAGGCCTTGGTTCCGCCACAAACGAACAATCCACTTCAGTTTAGAACAATTCCAGATATTTTGTGGCAAAAAAGCTTGAATTTTCAGTTACAATTCTCGCTTTACAATTGCAATTGTACAAACACATATACGAAATCGCAATTTCAAGGACCACGCAGCTGTGGAAAGCTTCTCTACAACCCATCTATCTTATATGCTGTGCGTTCCCAAGTGAAAATACATGTACCTCTCTGCTGAAAAACGTCATCACATTAACATATGAGACACAACCTTGAGAAAATAGTTATTAACCCTTATGGATCAGATCTCCACACCATGTCAACGATACTTCTTCACCTCTCTGCTGGAACTGAGATTTTCAAGTTGAATATCAGTTGCATCATCTTGCTTCTTCTTGAAGTACTTGCCCCCGAAAAACCCCACAATTCCCCCACCCAAGGCTACTGCAGCACCGGCTTTCAACCCCACGGCCAAACCCACGGGTCCCCCACATACTCCTCCTACTGCTGCACCGATCAGGGGAAAGGCAACCGCTTTGAGCTTGGTGGCCTGAAAAGCAAAAAATAACAAAATTATAATAATTAAAATAAAAACACTAACTGGAGTAAATACTGAATTAAATGTTTGAGATTTGAACCGAAAAAACTCTATGGTGATGATAAAGCTAGAAAACTTCCGTGTTTGTCTCGACCCTGGTCTCCCTCCTTGGTTAGAGCCCAGTGCGTGCGGAGCTTTTGACCTGGTTCCCGCCTAACCATCAAGCTCTGCGCTTTCTGTTTCCCGCTTGTAAATGGTGAAATGGAACGACGCTCGGGGAGGCGGCACGTTCCGTGTAATGTCACTAAGTGTTTTTTCCCCTCAATTGTCGGTTGAAATTTTTGCACGAAAATAACAACCAATCGACAGCAATACACAAATCTCTGACCTGAGTCCAGAATGGAATTTCAGGAATTACTTGGGTTGACATGGAAAGCACTCACCACCATGATAGATACTCAAAATTTTATCGAAAATATGGTGCACATGTATGCTTCCAGGCAATGCGAGTAGAGATAGTGAGAGTAAAAATTAATGTACGATACAGTTGAGCCCAACTGTCTCAAAACGAAAACTAAATAGTTTAAGATGTCTGGGGTTTGAGAAAGCCAATAGCAAAGGACTGAAAAAATATTTCCAAGGGAAAATGATTGGAGTTCCAGATAGCTGGCAGTTCGAGATAACCAAGTTCGAAACAGCAGGGAGTTTGAGACCGCGATGTTCTACTGTAAAGTTACATGTATTCATACTAATCTGTCAAATATTTTTGCTTACTCACGATTGGTCTAAATGCGTCACGTGACTGAACATGCCCCAGCTAAAACTGGGGATATTCCCGAATATTAAAAACTCCGCGTGTTGCAAAAAATATGTGAAGAATAATAAACACAATAAACTCCATTTGACTTTAAAAATATGCTTGGATATGATTTTGTCCTTGGACATTATCTGTCCTGCAAAGCTCACAGTTTATCCTCTAGCTTCGCTCTTAGAAGGCTGTTCGGTTCTCAGAAGAGTTAATGTCCATAGTCAAAAATCCGAGCACCTTTTCGCGCCAAATGGAAGCTATAGTATTTATCTTGCATCATAGGTCTGTACGGCGTGCAGAGGGATTAAATGCATTACACAGCAATATAGATCTGAAGTGCTTGCCAGAGTTGAAGAGTTTTTCAACAGCTTACCTTGCCTAATTGCCGGGTTCCCTCCTGCACATTGACCTGAGCACTCTCAATGTTGTTTTCGATAGAGTCGATTGTTTCTTGTTGCTCCTGAAGTTTGCATTTTAATGACAAAAAAGCAGCAGAATTAAAGCTAAACAATCGCACCTAGGAAGAGTCTTCAAAATTTATTTGAAATGTTACAAATAATTAAAATTTGTCTGCAATTCCTCATGTATCTGCTTGAGTATTGTGCTGGTAGATGGTCATTTAGCCCCCAAGTTGACTAGCCACTAACTTTTCAGCCCACAGCCATAAGCTGATTAGACCCCAACCAGAAGTTGGAAACACTGTCTATTTCTCATCCTTTACACGTGAATGAGGGCTAATTAACTTCTGATTGGTGGTTAACTGGCTAGCGGCTAATCGACTTGAGGGGTAAACGAAGAGTAACCCTTTTACTGCAAGTAACTTGACGCCTGTACATTTTGAATCCATGCGATATTCAATCATATTATCATATTACTGAGACTGGGGTTCAACCTCCTTGAGGTCATTGAATTGTATTCAGTGGCAAGACTCTTTGCTCTCAAATGCAGACCCTATCTCTACCTAGGGCTTAATAAATGGGCAGCGGTGAATTCTAAGGACAATCTAATAAAATTCTTTGGGGGAGGGGGGTGAGTCAGGGGGGTGGGGTGAGGGGTTAACCTGAATCTGTGTGCTTCAGGCTACAGAAACTGGAATTAGTGTAAGTGCTGATGTGTCATCTGGCTTCTCTGATTTTAAGGACTGGAACAGAATACATATGATATACCTTAAAATTAAACTAATTCACAATGACCAGAAATAAAATAATTAAAAATAAAGAGTTGATATTTTGACTTAATGATTTTGTTTTCTACGAGTTTCGGTTTGCACCAATGGAACACTGCCGTACTTAGGAAGAATATTTAACAGACTTACATGAACCAAAGATGAAAAGTCATGAATCAATTCATTAAGCTCCTCTAAACCCTGTTGTAGAAAAGAAGAAATTCCTGAAATCAGTTCTACTATACAAAGAAGCACAAAGAAAGGTATGCAACATTAGCAGAATTCTCTTTGTATACTAATGTCAATGCTGCAATCTGATTGGCTGAGTTATCATACATCATAATCCATGAAATATTTGCGCTCACGCACAATTGGTCTAAACGTGTCATGTGACCGACTATTCCCCAGCTAAAACTTGGGAATATCCAAGAATATTCCCCAATTTTCAAAACTGCGCATGTTGCAAAAAATATTTTAAGGATAATAAACACAATAACCTCCATTTGACTCTGAAAATATGCTTGGATATTTGTCTTTGGACATTATCTGTTGCTCAAAGTTCACAGTTTCCCTCGAGCTATGCTCTCGGAAAACTGTTCACTTCTCAGAACAGATAATGTCCGCAGACAAATACTTGAACAAATTTTCATGCCAAATGGAGGCTATTGTTTATCTACATGTATCAGCTGTAAGTATAAATCTACATTCTATCATGCATACCATTCTCTGATTGGCTACTCTACCCACTATCTATTCTGTGATAGATAGTTAGTAGCGTGGCAGTGTGCGAGTGTTAGCAAAATGATGGCCGCTTCTTTCCACTTTTGAAGTGTCTGATTCTATGCTTGATAGTTGTCTGTGACCTCATCAACTATCATACGATAGAAATCTCAAGCTCATAATCTAATTGTTTATTAGAGGGCAGTGGCTGTTGGTTGTATATGAAACTGCATTTTTCTGAAGTTTTGAAAGAACATTTTAGAAGCAAATGGATAACCCTGAGAAGAATAAAAGGATATTCAGTTTGTTGACTTTAAAATTTCAAAACTGTTGAAAAATTGGATGCACAGAAACACAGATGCAAATTTTGAATGACAATTCAGTTTGCACAATTTTTCTAAAGTAAGAAGTTTAATACTAAAACAATTAGATTGTTTGCTCTTGATTTCATATGAGATGATTTGGTTATCATCAACCATTACATTATGTACTTCATTGGAATATCTGGCTCATAATCGAATGGACCTTTCTATCGATGTCACAATTTCCCATTTTTTGTCTCGCCACTAGCTTTATCATGTCAAATTTAGTAAAATTATATGCAAAGTTTCATGAGAATCTGTTGCAAACTCATGAAAATATGGGACCCAAAACTTGTCAATTTTTACAATCAAACGTATGTCTGGGGACAAGTGTAAACCCCCCCCCCCCCCCCCCCCC